AGGAGGGGGGAGGAGGAGGAGGAGGAGATTGGATGTATCCCCCGCCCTTCACTACCCAAAGGAGTCTCAGAGCGGCTTACAAACTCCTTTCCCTTCCCCTCCCCACAACAGACACCCTGTGAGGTAGGCGGGGCTGAGAGAGCTCTGACAGAAACTGCTCTTTTTCAAGAACAGCTCTGACAGAACTATGGCTTGCCCAAGGTCATCCAGCAGCTGCAAGTGGAGGCGTGGGGAATCAAACCCGGTTCTCCCAGATTAGAGTCCGCGCCCTTAACCACTACAGCAAACTGGCAGATTCAAAGATTTATAAATGGCCAGGACAGGGAAGCAGAATCCTTCCATGTCACGAGAGCGTGTACTTCTAAACACTAGACCGTAGCAGCCAAAGGACAGTAACAGAGTGCTGGACCAGACACACCTTCGCCCCGAGCCAACATAGCCTTCTGGACAGCCATCTGTTGGTGTAACAGCCTGTTCCTGTTCGGCACCGGGCACCTTCTTCCGAACGGACTTTTCCAAATCCTCACAACAGACACTTCTGCAGATTCCCAGGGTCTCTTGCGTGGCAGGCTGAGTTACAAGCCGTGGCCGGCTGCCCAATGCTTACATGCGGGCCGTAAATCCGGGACACCAAATTACTAATAAAAAGCATGTTCCTACTGTGCTATTCAAAATATGTCAACTTTCACATAATCATATATTCATTATGGGCTGCAATCCTCTTTTTATTGGTTTACATAGGCTGGAATTACAGAGGCCTAATAGCACCGTTTCATCACGTGCTCGCGGGGCTCTGGTAACTGTCGAAGGAAAAACCAACTCGGTCTTCAAATGAGGCAGGATTTTCTGGGGGGGAGAGTGGGACGAGAAACAACAGCCCAAGGAAAACATACTCCCACAACTCCGAAGAAGCCAAGATCATCCGAGAGGTGGGAGGAGAGCGGCCCATTTGCCAAATCCCTCTCCAAATATCGCCAAATACTTGGTTACGTCTGCAGAAAACCGGTGGAGGTTTTCGCAGCATGAAAGACTGGCTAGCGTTTGTCAGGAACGTCGCTTTTGTAACGCAGGCCAAGAAGCCGTTTTGGCTCGCTAGAAACATGGCCGGAGGAACGATCCAACTGCATGCGCGAGCTCCGATTTGCACGTGGTCTCATGGCTGAGAAATTTAAAACCCTGCCAGCCAAGTGTCCGAATCCAGATTCCATACTTGGGTAGCCCAGATCCTACGCCAGGAAAAACTAAGTTCATCAACTTGTCTTTTTAGAACTAAATCTAAAATAAATCTAGAATTAAATCAGTGCCATTTTTGTATCACCTCTTTTAGAACCATGGATCATAGAATCATAGAATGCTAGAGTTGGAAGGGACCTTGCAGGTCATCTAGTCCAACCCCCTGCACTCTGCAGGAGCACAGCCGAAAGATAGCCCTACAACATACCCGAAAGATGGTCGTCCAGCCTCTGCTTAAAAACATCCAGTGAAGGAGCCTCCACCACCTCTCTAGGCAGTCTGTTTCACTACTCAACCACTCTCACAGTTAGGAAGTTTCTCCTGATATTTAGCCGGTAACGACTCCCTTGTAATTTCCACCCATTAGATCTAGTCTTGCAATCCGGAGCAAGACAGAATAGATCTGCTTCATCTTCTACATGACAGCCCTCCAAATATTTGAAGACTGCAATCATGTCCCCTCTAAGCCTTCTCTTTCCCAGGCTAAACATACCCAACTCCTTCAGCCTTTCCTCGTAAGACTTGGATTCCAACCCTCTCGCTATCCTGGTTGCCCTCTTCTGGACACACTTGACCTTGTCAACATCCTTCCTAAAATGTGGTGCCCAAAACTTGACACAATACTCCAGGTGAGGTCTGACCATAGCAGAATAGAGTGGAACTACCACCTCCCGTGATCTGGACACAATGCTTCTGTTAATGGATCAACTAAAAAAAAACACAGTTAACTAATCACATATGTTTTAACTAATTAACTGATCGATTTATACGCAAATTTAGGCAGATTTAATCAAACAACACCACTGAAACAAAACCTCTACCTAGATAACTAAAAGGGCCCCTTAAAGGAGACAGACAGACAGTCAGCAGTTAGTCATCGGCCAATTAGATTTGTACCTTCCAAATGCCCCATACGTATTGACTATCCGGAGGGGGTTGAAGGAAGTGTTCATGACTTGGCGAGAACTCAACAAATTCACCACCACTGGAACGCTGAGATAGGCAATCAGGACCCCAAAGGATATGTTCACTACTTTGCGGACGTAGCAGCCTGTGGAAAAGACAAATTTAAAACCACACACACATACACACACACTTACAAAATATGAGAAAGTCATCTTGCTTTTCAGCAGGGTGACTCAATCAGCTTCTAAGGAGCTCAAAGGGTTCTGGAGAACAGCACGGCAAGAGGACACATATCAACAGACACTCATCTTGCATTACAGCCGACCACTGGGTCGGAGGGTCAAGTTCCCTCCCGCCTCCTTCCTAGGGGCTTTCTGTAGACTGACCCGGGTTCCTCCCAAAGCCAACGCAAAAACAAACATTTGTTCACGAAACACCACTCCAGACCTCAACCGATGGGTCCTGGCATATCTTGCCAAGGATCTGCTTTTCTCTAAATAGTCTGAGAAAGGGCTAACAAGAAGAATGTCTAAAATGCTATGTTCGTAACAAGGCTGGAGGCAAAGACGTTACCGCGGGCCTTTGGAGAATCGTCTGCTTTCTCTACTAATGGGGATGGATTTCCCTCCAGGCAACCCTAAGGGGGCACAGAAAGGAATTCTGCACTCAACTAAAGAACCCTGAAGTACAGGATATTCCAGGAGACACAACTAGGTCTATTTCTCCCATCAGAACCTACTAATGTATTTGACTTTGAAACTGATACATGACCCTAGACATTGGTAAATGAGCATTCGGTTCCACACAAAAAATCTGACACAAGATTCTATTACTTGGTCGTACTGCTGAAGGACTCCATTATCAATACTCCAAAGCTGGATAAAAATTAGAATAAGACACACATTTAACAACAGCATTTGTAGATGAGCTGAGAACTTTGCGGAGAATGGGCTCACCAAGGAAATGTGCCTTGTTTGGCTACTGTGACCCACTTGTGAATCGAGCCTCGGATGAGTTTGTCTCACTGTTTGCCAACCAATGCTAGTGCTTCTGGTGTTGTTGTTGTTGTTGTTCAGTCGCACAGTCGAGTCCGACTCTTTGCAACCCCATGGACCACATCACGCCAGGCCCTCCTGTCTTCTGTCGTGCTCCGAAGTTTGCTTAATTTCATGTTCGTTGCATATATGACACTGTCTAACCATCTCATCCTTTGCCGTCCCTGTCTTCTTTGACCTTCAATCTTTCCCAGCATCAGGGTCTTCTCCAGTGAGTGCTCCCTTTTGGTGGCCAAAGGATTTGAGCTTCAGTATCTGGCCTTCCAGGGAACAGTTAGGGCTAGTGCTAAGAGTGGTATCCTCTAGTGCTAGTGCTAAGTCCAGCAAATTTGCAATTATCTACTAGCTGTGGTAGGTAACTCAGTCCCCCGACTGGGGACTGTTGGGTTGCTCGCACAGTTTCATTATCCATGTGGGTTTCATGTGCAATGCATCCATTTATCATTTTTATAGTAAAAAATATTTAAAATGAATTGTTTCAATGACAATGGGAAAGGGGAATAAACGATGGTTCCCATCAGCCGGTGTGAGAATGTGGACAAGTACAATTTGCTCTAGATCAGGAGAGTTTGGCAGCCATTGTCAGACTCCGAGGGATACCAGACTGTAAGGAAAAAAATATTTCTGCCCATGAATTTCTTTATTTTTGTGTTATCTTCTTAATTCTTTCTTTAAACAATGTGTGTGTGTTTAGGAGGGAAGGCTATTGTGATTAACACATTTCTGTACATAGACAGAGGTGGTGTTTCTACAGCAGACACATTTGGGCTTTTCGGATGCTGGCCGAATAGCCCACCGAACGTTCGGCTCTGTTGATCACGACACACGAGCACAAAGCAAGCAGAACCAGCAAGTGCTTGACTACATCTAGTTTATTCACTCAGTCTGAGCCAGCTTTGGATAAATATTTTAGGGCACTTTCTATGAGTTTTAGAAAGACATCCGGGGGGAGGGGGATGAGATGGAAAGCACAGAACACAAAAACGTGCCGAGAAAAAAATTAGCAGATTTTGCCAATTTACCTGCAAGATTAGACAAAACAGCATCGGGAAGAGAAATAAATATATGTTTAAAATCTCTATCGCTTCTAGCTGAAAGAGCTTTGGCAGACTGCAGTAAGTCCTTATCCCCCAAGTCATTGGCTTAGATACTGAGATGCTATGGAATGTTTATGAAGATTCCAACTTCTGTAGTTTAAAAAAACTATCAGCAATTGATGTCTTTAGGGCAGACAGGGGGAGGTCAATACAGAAGGGAGAAAGGAGAATATCTTTTGCCTCCTCTGTCATTTTCTCCATATCCCTTCTAAGGGATTCCTTTCTTTTCCGCTTCCCCTTTACTATGAACTTCGTCATTATTTATTATTCTGACTTTCTCTATGAGTGAAAAGGTACCCAAAAAGGGCGCAGCTTTTTTTGGAAGTCCTGGACACAGCTGCAAGTTTTGCATATGGAAACTGAAAAGGGATCCAAAGTTACCAAGAATCAGACAAATAAGCAAAGCTGACCCATGATGCATCCTGCCTTTTAAAAAGAAACAAAACAAAAACCATTAAAAGCCAACACATGAGACTCAAAGGGAAAACACAAATAGCTCCTGTCCCATCTCTGCGGGAGAGCTGCTTTTGTTTAAAGCCTCTCCGAAGCCCCGATAAACTGTTTAGTCTGAGAATATTTTGGGAGAATCAATCTGATTCCAAAAGGAGGTCTAGTCCCCTGCCCATGTCTGTGAAGAGTGTATTTCAGAAAGACCAGGGATTTGGCCTGTTGCAAAGAACGAAAAGGAGGAAGGGAAAACAAAAACCCGTTACTACAGAAAAGAATTCATTCTCTGAGCCAGGATGCTTCGATTTCCCAGGCCCACCTGTTGTGAGTTTCCCTCTGGGATCTGGCCACAGGGGTGTCATCTTCCGGTTTCTCTGCATCTCAGCAGATGATAACCGAGATTAGCTATAATGTTGTAAAATTCCCACTGGAATGCTGGAATTTGCACAGCAGTGGCTAAAAGAACTCTGCAAAGGCTCAGAGTGCGTTTTCTTGGAAAGGATCGTGTTTCTAGCTTTCAAGACGGCATCGACAACTCTGAAAGCAACGGGGGCGAAATGTATCTTTCCCTGTTGTGTGTCCAAAAGGACTGAAAGGATCCGTTCCTTCTGACACAGAGGTAACAATATCGTTTGAACATGGCAATAATGTCTTAGTAAAGGTAAAGGCTTCCCTTGCTCGAAAGCCAGTCGAATCTGGCTCTAGGGATGCGGTGCTCATCTCCATTTCCAAGCCGAAGAGCCAGCGCTGTCCGAAGACGTTTTCATGGTCATGTGGCCAGCATGTCTAGACGCCGAGGCCCACAGAACGCTGTTACCTTCCCACCAAAGCGGTACCTATTTATCTACTTGCAATTTCTTGCTTTCGAACTGCTAGGTTGGCCGGAGCTGGGACCAGAGACGGGAGCTCACTCTGTCATGTGGCACTCGGGTCTCGAACTGCTGAACTACCGACCTTCTGGTCTGCAGTTCAGCGCCTTAACCACTTGAGTCACCGCAGCCCCTTAATAATGTCTTACCATATGGCAGAGCCGATCCCTTTTCTTTTGACTCTTCCCTTTGCATCGCCAGCACTCGGGCCTTGACACATTTGTCTCTGGAGCTGAAAAAAGATCCCAAGGAGGCATCGTCGAAGCAAGCGAGGCTGGGGACGATGGTCAACCAGTTCAGGAAGCTCAGATTCCCGCTAATGATGAGGAGCACCTAGAGAGGAGAAGGGGAAGACTGTGAGCCTGTGGGCCAGGTGTTCATAATAGGCACTGATTATTTATTTATAGTCCACTCAGACTCAAGGCGGATTACACAGAGGGAGTCAATACAATCGGCAGGAAAGGGGCATTCAATAAACAATGCAATAGGGTTGGGGCTGCAGAACCAACCAGAAGTCTAAAAAAAACCAGAACTGAAGCAAAGTGTGGGTGATTCCGCACTAGACCTTAAATCCTGGTTGAACCCTGTCCCCAATGTAGTGTTACTGTGTAGTGTTACATTCCACACTACTGTATGGTGTTACATTCTACACTCCACGCGAGTTCATCCCTGCAATTATCTCAGGGTCTTTTTTACATTCCACACTACACTCGAGTTCATCCTTGCAATTATCTCAGGGTATTTTTTTACCCCACATTACATTCAGGTCACCCCGGTTTCACCCCACACTTGTCCCGGGATAAACAGATGCTGTTCTAACCAGGGATAAATGCAAGGTCTTGTGTCACGAGTTGAACTCTGATAAAACCAGGGATGAGATCCAAGTGCAGAAAGGTCCATTAAGCCTTAACGTGACACATTAAATGATGCAAAATTCCATAGTAGGATCCTCGTTTCAGCAAGCTAAACACAGTAGTCTAGACCACCGTCCCTAATCATTTTTCCCAGTAACTTGGTGGATCGATAGGTTGTCGAAGGCCCCCACCTTCCTGAGTAGATATAAATCACCTGCCTACCATTTTCCATCTCACCTTGACACAGAGAGTCCTCCATCTTTCTGTGTTATACCTCTGAGGATGCCAGTCACAGCTGCTGGCGAAACGCCAGGTCCTACAATGCCAAGACCACGGCCAGACAGCCCGGAAAATCTACAACAGCTAATAAACTTTGTGGATCGTTTAGTACAGTTCGACTCTATTGCCTGGGTAGAAAAACCTTCTTGAACAATTCCATTTTGCATAGTTTCCAAAAAGACAGGAGAGTGGGAACCTTCCTGACTTCTTCAGGTAGGCCATTCAACAATTTGGGGGCTTGACAGGGAAGACATGTACGGGCAGTTGTTGATTTTGCCCAGTTGCAGGTTGGCACCTTCAGAAGGCTGTGCTTGGATGAGCAAAGCTGTCGTGCCAGAGCACAGCGGGGGAGTTGGCCTTGTAGATACAACGGTGCGAGGCCATGAAGGGCTTTATATCTAATAACCAATACTTTAAATTGAGTCTGGTAACTGATGGGCAGCCAGTTGGGTTGTCAGGTCCCTTCGGGCAGCAGGCAGGGGAAGGAGGGTGGGCTTACTGGGAGTTTATCCCACATTTCATTTATTTATTTATTTATCCTTCGGCTTCTATCCCGCTCACCCCCTAGGGGCTCTGAGCGGCTTACAATTCTAATTCATACAATCCTAATCTAGGGCCACATATGTGTAGGGACGGTGAGAAGCCTACCAGGCAGCCTTATTCTGTTGTAGCAGATCTTCTTGCGAGGGGACAGCCTGGCGGCGACCCTTCTCTGGCGCAGGTCTTTGCAGTTCCACTTTTCCCGGCTGTCGCAAATTCCATCTCCAGGCCCGGACCACTTTGTGCTTCCGCGCATGCTCGCAGCGGCCTCCGTCCAAGTCAGGCTCCGGCATTTCACATTTCATTGACATGCCCATGTGATTTCAACATGACCCAGAAGTGACACAGGCATGTCAGGGGCACCGTGGCGACGCCCTGGTTTTGGGGCAAAAACTCTATGGTACGATTAGCATCTACCATAGAGGTTTTGTCCAAAAACCAGAGTGTCACCCCAACGTCCCTACGTCACTTCCGGGTCACACTGAACTGAAGCATAGCATAAGTATTCACATGAAGAAGTACAGAAATCAGATATCCCTTGCTCTGCGGGGAGGGCGGGGTATAAATTTGATAATATAAATAAATAAATAGGTCCTGCTCACAATAGGCTATACACAGCCGTAGAGACCACAGGCTCTAATCGTTTACCCAAGTAACTTTGTAGACTATTTTGTACAGTGCACCCCTATTAAAGGTAAAGGTTCCCTTGCTCGAAAGCTAGTCGAGTCTGACTCTAGGGTTGCAGTGCTCATCTCCGTTTCAAAGCCGAAGAGCCAGCGCTGTCCGAAGACGTTTCCGTGGTCATGTGGCTGGCATGAATAAACACCAAGGCGCACGGAACGCTGTTACCTTCCCACCGAAGTGGTACCTATTTATCTACTTGCAGTGTCTTGCTTTCGAACTGCTAGGTTGGCAGGAGCTGGAACTAGAGACGGGAGCTCACTCCGTCATGCGGGCTGAACTACCAACCTTCCACAGCCTGCAGTTCAGCGTCTTAACCACTTGAGCCACCGCAGCTCCTGCAACCCTATTATGGGCGCAGAAAAACCCTCTTGAATAATTCGGGTTTTTTGCATCGTTTATGGAAGGCCAGAAGAGGGGGAGCTTCCTGCAACCCTATTATGGGCGCAGAAAAGCCCTCTTGAATAATTTGGGTTTTTGCATAGTTTATGGAAGGCCAGAAGAGTGAGAGCTTTCTCCATGGACAGGCTATTCCACAAGGTGGGAGCCACCACAGAGAAGGCACATGTATGAGAAGAAGCCCCTGCTGACTTGAGTGAAGTTGTCATGGTGGAGTGTCGGGAGAGAGCATCTTGGGGCTTCCACTTTGTAACCAGGCCACAATTTTGGACAATCCCCTCATAAACTGCGAAGACAATGTATCAGAATCCCCCCACAAGCCACCAGGTTCTGGCTAGGGAAGGAGAGGGCAAGAGCTGAACCCAAACCAAGATGGTTGCACTCTCGTATCCACGATCCCTGAGGTAACTTTCAGGAGGATCAAATGGGCTGTGGCAGACACAAATAAATTTTTTGCTGGTCAGGGGTGGAGAAGTAGGCTTGGAGCACAGCTGGTACAGCTGGCCAATCCAAAGGCTCCGAAGCTCTTGGTTCAAGACCGACACTCTCATCCACTCCACATAAAATGGGGCTCAACACAAATTTTGAAAATAATCAAAAACTGAGGTCCTCAAGGCTACGATATTTTGTCTGCTCTGACGCTGGCCAGAGGATTATTTAGGATGGGGAACCTGGTACTTTGACAACAATTACACACACACACACACAATGCTTACACTTTCTTTCTTTTTTTAGAAGAACCCGAACATCTTATTATAATCCAAATTCAACCGAACATTCGGGGAAATCAAGCAGTTAACTTCGTTAACCTTTCTCACTTAGTTCTTTTTATTTGACCTCACTCCCCCTTCCCCCCGCTTGCAATACTGAGGAAATTTTAAGAAAAATAATTCCCTGGTTCGCCACTTTGACACAGGATCACTTTACTGCCCTATATGTAGCAACTGGGTGGTCCACTCTGTTTTTCTTTTCTTCTCTTTTTGGTAATGATTCCCCCCTCGTTATTACTTAGAAGCCAGAAACCCACGAAACTTATTCCTACCAGCTGTCAAAAAAAAAAATCTGCAAGGTTCGAAAAATACTACTAATCTGGCCTCTGAGATTTTGACGCAAGGGTAGAAACAGGAACCTTTCAACCCCCGCCCCTGCCCCAGCATATCTTCATTGGCCTGATTCAGGCAGCATTTGTTAGTGGGTGGGTAAACAAATGCAACAGCGTTCATAGATGGATCCCAGCACATAATGGTTTGGAAGCGAAAAAATTGCTATCCGAGAAGGAAGCCCCTCAGGCCTTGTACTTGTTTCGGCTGCCTTCTGAGACCAGTTACATGCCTCTGTTTTTTGGGTTTTTTAAATGTATTTTTACTGCATTCTTTGACCAACCGGAAGGCCAGAGATTCATCCACCAAACGGCAGCTGTGTTCTTGAATGCAGAATTCCGTCAGTGGTGGATAATGAACCCTTAGCGGTCAGGGACCCACATACCGTCGCCAGCCCTTCACTCGGAGTCTCAGAGCGGTTTGCAATCTCCTTTCCCTTCCCCTCCCCACAACAGACACCCAGTGAGGTAAGTAGGGCTGAGAGAGCTCTTGACAGAAACTGCTCTTAAGAAAACAGCTCTAACAGTACTATGGCTTGCCATAGGTTATCCAGCAGCTGCAAGTGGAGGAGTGGGGAATCAAACCCGGTTCTCCCAGATTAGAGTCCACGCACTTAAGCACTACACCAAACCAAAGAGCATTATGCTCGCAAAGAAAGAACCTTTCCGGCTCTTGCCCCTGCCTGCTGGAACTCTCTGCCTGAGAATATCCATGCCCTGAAGGATTTGTTACCTTTCTGCAGGGCGTGTAAGATGTAGATGTTTCGCCAGGCATTTGGCTGAGAACAGCAATGGAACAGTATGTGGTCTGCCACTCTCAACCCCCCTCCATTCTCCGCAGCCCTCCTCCGGGAGGCCCGTGAAATCTGAAATCTGAAGTTCTTTCCACCATCCTGGATCAACCCAATTATGCTGATGTATTATTGGAGCTGTATGTTTTATATATTTATTTCTTGGCTTTAACTTTTAATTACTTATTGCATGTCGTCTCCTGTCGTGAGCCGCGCTGAGCTTCGCTTGCAAGGAAGGGCAGCCTAAAAGCCTAATTAAATAAATAAAGAAGATAAGAAGAGAAGAGATTGGATTTATACCCCCCCTTCACTACCCGAAGGAGTCTCAGAGCGGCTTACAAACTCCTTTAATAAATAAATATTATATTCAATTTATTCGATAATATAAATATTCGATTCAATTTATTGTATTACAGTCCACGACCAGACCCAGTAGACAAAAATAAGCATTGTTCGGGTACACAAATATACAAAACATACAACTCTGGTTAAAATAAAAATAAATAAGATGAGGGGCAGCTGGGCTAGGATTGGGGAACTAGAGTTCGTATCCACATCTGGCCAAGAACCTTGGGCCAGTCCAACTTATCTCATGGGAATGTCGTTCAGGGCAAAAGGGACAAGGTAATGTAAGAACGTAAGAAGAGCCCTGATGGATCAGACTAGTGGTCTATCCACGCCAGCATCCTA